TGCAGTGAACGGAACCTCGATCCATTTACGGCACCTGTAACAGCTATTTTGAATTTTCTTTCCCATCTCTTCTCTACGGGTCGTTCCTACCATTCGCTTAACGTCGTGCGTTCCGCGATTTCGGCGGCTCACGTCCCGACCTTAGGCATTCCCGTAGGGAAGGACCCTCTAGTATGCCGTCTCCTGAGGGGTATCCGACTACAGAGACCACCAGGACCTAAGTACTCCCACCTTTGGGACGTGGAGGTGGTCCTACGATTCCTGAGAGACTGGCCGACTAATGACAGACTGTCTCTCAGACAACTTTCGGCCAAACTGACCCTTTTACTTTGCCTCGTTTCCTTCCGTCGGGTTTTGGACGTGCGGGCTTTTGATATCAACGCCTTTTCGGTCTCCCCTGAGGGAGTTACCTTCCGGGTATCACGACGTACCAAATCGGACTCTACGTCGGTTTTTTATCCCTTCTTCGCTACTGAACCGCAGCTATGCGTCGTCTCTACCCTGCATCAATACGTAGAGACCACAGCCGCGCTCCGGGTCTCTACCTCGGGACAGCTACCAGTATCCTATGTCAGGCCACACGTTCCTGTTTCGACTACCACACTCGCCAGGTGGGTGCGATGGATCCTGTCACTGGCGAGTGTGGATGCCAATTTTGGTGCACACTCAGTGCGCGGGGAGGCGGCTTCCTCGGCTTTCTCAGCAGGTGCATCTCTGGCGGATATCCTTCGGTCAGCTGACTGGTCGAGGGAATCTACCTTTCGGACATTCTACTTTCGCCCGAGTTCAGGTGCAGCTATGTCTCTTCTGCATCAGCGTTAAAAAATGCAAAATAGGAAGCCTCCTGTCATGTGGTAAAATTGAAGATTATGCTAGCGTTAGTGTATTTATAATCTTAATTTTAGTAATGACAGGAGGCGAGTATTTTCCCACCCTTTCCCTCCCTTGGGAAGAGTGGATGCACGTAAGTATGTATCTATATCTCCGTTGACTTATCTGGTATCTATATCTTCGTCTCCTCTTGGTTTGGGATCTGTTCTGTTCAGGTTATTATGCATTAACCTTTTAACCAGGGGGTCACCTATTGTTTTATTATGTGGGATCGATACTACAACCAGTTGAAAGATCGGTGCCTAATCCGTTTCACATTCTCTTTTCAGTTTAAATCCGCGATGTTAACAGATCATTCTCAGAATGGACACAGTTGGACCAGCCTTCAGCTCCTGGAGCTTCGTTAATTGGACAAATCAATCGTTGGTGCATGTTTCAGGACATTCTGAATCAGTTCGCATCCTGTGAAAGTCCGTTTTGTCGATGGGAATCACCCGTTGGTGCATGTTATAAATGTTTGGACGTTATGATTCATTGAGTTTTTCCTGATGTCGCTTCCAAAAGAGGGGGGGGAGCCTCATCACTGTGAATACTATGCAGCATATTACATTTTGATTGGTTATCGTTTTCACTTTTCTTTACTGCTATGTGGAGTTAGTAAAGAGAGTTATATGCAAAATACTCGCCTCCGGTCATTACTAAAATTAAGATTATAAGTACACTAACGCTAGCATAATCTTCAATTGTATTTCTTATATAGTGATTTCTAATATGTCATTATAATGTCTTTTTATAACATCCCAATTTGTGTATATAGTCACAATAATGTATATTTATTTTTATATTGCTACAGTGAATTCACTATTTATTTAATAGTACACTTGAAGAATGCTCTCTAATGACTTTTTAAAATTATTTTGTTACAATTAATCATTATTGTTCATCACTATTTTATTATTTAGATGATTTATGTATTACATTATGTTTAAGTGTATATAAGAATGTAAGACATAAAACTAATACATAATAAATTAATGATTAATAATAATAATAATAATTAATAGTATGTAACAAAATAATAAACAAAGAAAATTATATTTATATATAATGTATATATATGACCAGTATATAGCTGAGGTAAGGGTTACTGAAGTACCCAGAGAAAATCAAAATACAAACATTTCCTATTGTGCTGCTGACACCTCCCTCTGCAGCTCCAAGCAGGGTAAAGTAATCCACAAAAATAGTCCAGGACATGCACTGACAAAGGGGATAACCCGAAACGTTTGTACCTTATGTCCTTGTAAATAAATCATTTTGTAGCACTTGATGTGCACATTTGCAATTACCCTAATTTTTTTCTATTTTTGTGTATATATATATACACACACATACATATACATATATATAAATATTATTATTTTTTATTCTTTTTCTTGATTTGATTCCCATCTGCAGTGGTTAGTATTCATTCTCTTTTTCCTCTTTTTTTGGTTTTTAGAGGATGATATAGATTACATATCGATCTTTGTTATATTCAGGGGAACCCAAATTGTTATTTTCAAGTGCACTTGGAGAAGAGTGAATTAGACACCAGACTCGTGTTGGTTATCAAAATAAGCCACTGACTTTTATTTTGTCAGTTGTGTTTTTATACATTAAAAAGTAAGTGCTTACGTGCAAATACTCATAGAACAGTAGAAGCAAGGTAGTAAACGGGTGAAGGGAGTACAGATAAGACATAGGGATGAACGTCATGTACATATAACAGATAAGTTCTGGGAAAAAGAAAGAACAGACTGATTTAGGAGAGACAGCTTGGGTGGGGGCTATCTGCTCCCAGACCTAGACATATATGGTCTTAAGTGTCATTTTAAGCATTAAAAATTTCCTGGGTCCAAGTTAGCCAATTTTAATATAGGCTATCTAGTATGACACCTAGAAGCTTGAACTTTGGAATCAAAGTAAATTCTTTCACAATCACCTCTTTTAAGATCCAAGGGTCACCCAAATGTCCATGGTATTTCCAGGCCTGCTAGCCAAAGCCTGTGGACTTTTATTATTTCTTCAGCACGGTTTCCTTGGACTGAGAGACCACCAGAATCAGCTGAGGAGAGTTTCTTCATTTTTTAAGCGAGGTAACATCGTAAAAACCTCCTGAAGTCGGAGCTGGAAGGTAAGTTAAGGTACGACCAACAGTAGATTTGTTTTTACATAGAGAGGTTAGTAGACATGATAAGAACTTGACTTTTAGAAAAATGTCCATAATAACCAATACAGCTAATAGCAAAAAGTACAAAGTTTTCTTAATTAGCAAATTCAATCATGTTCCTAGCCCAAATGTCCAATCCCAATCCCCAAAGAAGCCAGTATCCTGTTTGATATCCTGTACTTAGTCATGTAAATCTTTTATATGTTTATGGATCATAGTGCCATGGTCAGATAGGTTAAAAAAGCACATACCTTCAATAACTTCACAGCCTAAGTCATGTTTCATTAGTAAGTAGTCAATTGCTGCTCTATTCTCAAGGATTGCCTTCTTATTTGCCTGGGTGTCCATATGGGAAATTGCATTTAAACCCTTTGCAAGGGAACAGGCTAAAGGGAACAGGCTACAGCATTAATTACTCGGGTATTATAAAGTGCTATTATTCTCCTACCATAGAGTATGCAAGGGCAGAGTATTCAGATTTAAATAAGAGGGTGATTTAAGGGTTACAATCTGAATAAGGGTGTTTTTGACATCTTTCCTGTCTCTCTGTGGTTTGTGTAGCTGGGTGGTTTCAGAGATCAGGTAAGATTTGGAAAACATGGTCATGGTTAGGCGTGAGATTGCACAGGGACCTCTTGTAATGTTACCTGGGAAATAAGCATAAGTACTATTTCCACAGGAGAAAGTCTATCCTTTAGGGAGATAGACATAGTGGTGGTAACTCATAACTTGGTGAGTTTTGGTACATTTCATAGTGGTGCTTAGGGCTCTACAATTCGTGGTATTTGTCTACCATGTGGGGCAAAACAGGGATTTAGTATTAGGGTCTCTTGAACAATTACATGACAAAGACCAACATAGTTCAGAGGCTGTCACATTAATTGTCTTCAGGGCTGGGGGGGGGGGCTTTCCTACCAGTGGGTTGAAAGCATAAGAATGTAGTTGTAGAGTTTTATGGGGTCTATGGGTATGGAGGTACTTCCTCAAGTAGGAACAGCTATAAGACACGATTGTATGGCGTTTTCAGTACTGAGGAGAGAGTTGAGGCAAAAGGAGGTTAAATTAAAAGCCTTTGCTATCTGCATCCATATATTTCCCTGCCATGCATTATTATCTTCTGGTCTCAAGTCAGAATAGCATATCTGAGCAGTGCATACAATGGTAAAGGATAAGAACTGCTTCATGTCGGTGGATCAGTCCGAGTGACTTGTTTACAGTGACTGGCGTGTATCCACGTGGCTTTTCCTACTAGTTTCACTGAGGTAGCCGTAGTCAGGAGCACTTCGAATGGACCATCAAAGAGTGGTTCAAGTCCTTTCCTCACATGCCTCTTTATCACCACCCAATTACCAGGCTGCAGTTTGTGAGTTGCAGAATCAGAGTCTGGATCTGGAATGGAATCAAAGACTTGTTTATGCACCCTGCCTAATCTTTGGTGTAGGGCCTGTACATAGGCAGTCACACTACCATGCTGCATCTGAAGGGTCTGAGGAAAGTAGAAAGTTGTCTTTGGGGCACATTCAAACATGTCTGGAATTAGGGGTGAAGGTGAGTGTTAGGGGAAGGCATTCAGTCCAGGGCTTCCCTGTCTATTGCATGGCTTTTGCAATCTTGGTGCCATTTGCCCTTTCTACTTTCCCACTACTCTGGGGGTGAGAAGGGGTGTCACATTCAATCACTTCAGGTACCCCGTATCTACATACCAGTTCCCTCAGAAGCTTACTTGCTGTGACCTTCGATGTGGCTTTCGATACTGGGTAGGCCTCAGGCCAACCTGAAAAGATATCAATGCACACCAACACATATTCATACACTCCTACCTTGGGCAGTTGAATATAGTCTATCTGCAGTCTTTGGAACTGGTAAAGTGGCCTTGGTGTGTGCTTACTTTGTGTTTTGACAGTCTGTCCTGGATTGTTTCTAGCACAAATCATGCAAGCATTGGGTGTGTTTAGCTGCTTCAACAGTAAATCTGGGTGCTACCCAATGGGTGTTTACTATGCTGTTCATGTGCATCTTGGATAGATGTGTAGGTCCAAGGGCCATCTGGGCCATCATAGGGTACAACACTCATAGCAGACACAGTCTTTTACCTTTCCTCCACATTCTGTTATAATCAGGTTCTGCTTCTTGTTTCCTCCAGAGGTCATGTTCTTCCTTGCTTCCTTGTCTTTGTAAGCTCAACAGTATATTGTAGTCAATGGCGTCATCTGTAACAACAACCTGCAGGAAGGGATTTTCTGTAGAGGGATGTGCTTGGATCGCTGCTTGCTTGGCAGCTTTGTCTGCTTTCTGGTTTCCTCTTGTAATTTCATCTGTGATCTTCACGTGAGCTGCCACCTTGATGATGCCTACTTGAGTGGGTAGCAGGATAGCATCCATAAGTTCACTCACAGCTTCAGATTTGGAGTACCTGCTGAGGTGAGAAAATCACGAGCCCGCCATTTAGGGCCAAAATCATGGGCTATACCGAAGGCATAGCGAGAGTATGTGTAAATATTATCTGTCTTACCAGAGGCCAG